TTATAGTCCACTTGCTGTTTCACTTGTAGCCAGTTGCAAAGACGAGACATCAGGTGTGACGATGATGTGCTCGCGAAACGGTGTGCGCGCGCGTCAATGGTGAGATCCTGCGGTTAGAATTCAGAATAGTTATCGGAATGTTCTGACTGGAGGAATCTGAGCCATAAAGTTATTTTTTCGCAAATTCAGGCGGCCAGCTCGCTAGGATTAAACCGGCTTCCCAAGTGCAGGGTCTCGCCGATGGTGTCAGCCTGGTTATGAATGATGGAGCAAAAAAAAAATCGCATAATGAAATTTGTCTCTGCGCTTTATTCGGCGAAGTTGCAGCTCTGAGAATTAAAATATCAGAATAACTTCTTTTATACTGGAGGAATCAGATGAGCTATTAAGCTCTTTTTCACAGATGTCCAGTAGGGGCGGGTCAGAACATTAACGAATACAAAAACACAAGATAGGGATGGTTAACAAATCACAAAATAAAATATACAACAAAAAAACTAAACTATTTTATTTCACCAGGTAAAGCCCACTGAGCTATTAGCTTCTTTTTGAGAAGCGACCTGGCCTCAAAACGATTGCTCAACAAAAGTGGTTTATCATCACGTGGAAATTTATCACAGCTAAATAATCTAAATATCATCGAACTGTCACGTGACGAACCTCGCTCTCGCATGCACAGTGAGTGGGGCGTTGCTGCCCCCTCGACTGTGCTAACCAGAGGCCACTTAAAGGGATCTCGGAGGTAGCTCTGTGGTGTCCGCTTCCGTGGGCTGTTCCCCAGCATGTAAGGTCGCACTGCTCTGCGACATTTCCGAATTTATTCTCGGTGTAGTGACACGACGATTGGGATGTGGGGAGTGAAATTTGTTCATGAGTTTTTTTAATCGGTGGTGATTTGCCGACATCTGTACAGTGGTACCCTGGAGATCGAACTTAATTCGTTCCAGAAGGCCATTCGAACACCGATTTGTTCGTACACCGAATTAATTTTCCCCATAAGAATTAATGTAAATGACATTAATTGATTCCAGACACAAGACATCTCTCATTATAAAGCATTTTTACACGAAGTTTCCAGTAATTACATGCATAAAATCATACATAAGAACAAGAAACAATAAATAAATGGAATAAATGAATAAATATATGGAATACATGAACATTGAACTTCACTTTACCTACAGTACGGAAAGTTGATGGCTTGAGTGGAAGGTGGTGAGGAGGAGGTGGTGGTGTTATTGTTTGGAAGGGGAGTCCCCTTTGTCTGGGCAAGCGTTATGCACGCTGCTGGCCATACGCGTCTCAGCCGTACAAAGTTCTTTGAAGTCGCGGTTGCCCGTTGGACCTACGAATTTCGTTCGGTTCCCGGGGCAAAAAATGTACGGAAATATCGTTCGAACACCGATTTGTTCGAGTTCTGGTGCGTTCGATCTCCGAGGTTCTGTAAATCAAAAATGAATGGGCTATCTGGTGGCCATACCACCGCTCGCCACCAGGTGGCGTGCGAGTCCTGTTAGAACCCCAATTCAGGCGAGTAGAGATTTTTAATATGGGAATCGTATCGCTCGGGGTTTTAACACACTTCAGGTTTTGAGTCTTGCGGGGTATTTTTGGTCTATCAGTCCATAATTCCCTTTTTGAGCATCTGGGTCTTTCATGCGAGTCTACGGGGCTCTGAGAGCATGTCGGTCTTTCATGCGAGTCTACAGAGCTCCGCGAGCATGTGGGTCTTTCATGCGAGTCTGCGGTTCTCTGCTGAAGTTATCGGTGACCTGGCTTAGGCCCATGAACATCTGTGGAAAAGAGCTGGATAGCTCAACGCATTTCTCCAGTATGAATACGTATTCTGATTCTGATAAAACTCGACTATGTTTTGAGAACCCCGGTATAATTGGAGTTGGGCGGACGAAAACACAGGTTCAAACTCAGGACATCAGATCACGGACTATTGAAACTATTTTTAGATCAGCAGATAAGGCCCCACTTCGTTGAGCTACCACAAATGATAGCTCAACGAAGTGACTTATCACGTGGAAATTTAGAGCAGCCAAATGCTCTTAAACGCATGGTGTAGCTTCTAAATGTGGAGGGGAAAAACCAGAGGACCCAGGAAAAATATCCACCCGACCACAGGGAGAGAGACACACACAAACTCTAAATATGCATACTTTTTGTTTTGTTTTTCGGTAAAGTCACGTAGGTAAAATAAAATAGAGAAGTTTTTCAAGTTTCATTTCAAGTTTCATTTATTAGGTATAGCCCTGTGAGCCACGCTGCTCTGGAGTCGGGTGCAACCGCAACAAACAAAATATGAACAGAGAAACATCTTAAACCGACGACGCGCAACAGAAACATCCTGGGATAAACCAGCAAATCTTCCAGAAACCCCCCTCACACAACGTATTACAACGCTGTGTGCAAAAATCCCAGTGTGATGCAAGTCAAACAATATCAACCATAAGACACCATTGGAACCTCCTTTGCCAGTGTCAAGTGGCACAGATATTCTGCTGTGACTGTTCCACCTGAAGACAGAAGCTTGTGTTGCCTCCGAAACGTCGTGATTTAATTGTTCTCTTTTATTTTATTTTGCCTACGTGACTTTACCGAAAAAACCAAAAAGTATGAATCCTTGCAGTCACGAAAGCTTCAAATCTAAATATACAGCAGGCGTCAGGGTCGGGATCGAACCCATGATCTCCTGTTTACCAGGCGAGGTAATTAACATCTCACCATGGAGAGCGAGAGAGACACGCGAACTCCAAATATACAGCAGGCGTCGGGGTTAGGATCGAAGCCATGACCTCCTACACACCAGGCGAGGTAGTTAACCTCTCGCGACCGCGGCACCCCGACATGGCCGTTGTGAATCTCTCTCGGCAAACCCAGCCACCCCTTGAGAGGCGTGTGCCACGAAGACACAGTGACTCACTGACCCTGCGAATGCCTCCCCCCTCTGCCCCCCCCCCCTGTTCTCACATTACCGGGGAATGTGGAAGGTTTATTTAGACTTGTCACCGTGTTCGTCTTGCTCTCTCTTGATTCACTGCCTGTCAGTAATAAATGCGCAACGCCGGTTCTCTCCTCTGTTTTGCTTTTTTTTGGGCGGCAGGGTGGCGCAAGTGGGGGAAACGCTATGTGCCTCAAAGCAAGGAGCATACATGTCAACCCGTATCGTTTATAAGAATAGGTTTTACCCTTTCTGGCAATAAAACAGGTGTTAAGATGTTAAAACAGCAAACTGGAACCTTTTGCAAAGAATCATGTCTGCATGAACCACACATATGCTTGTGGTAAGCATGCAAACAAAAAGACATGCTCTGGTAGTATATGATGCATTGTCTTTGAAACTGATTGGTCCACACCAGAGACAGCTTTCCTTAGAGCCTCGTCTCAAACAGTGTTCGACCAGAGGACGCCAAAAGACAAACTTGCGCCGTCGTTTTAACTGCCACGCTGGGAGATTGGCATAGCCCATCAAACTTTACGATTTGCCCCGTATTCTTGTACAGGGAAATTGAGTTTTCAGGTCTATGCCGCGTACAGCCGTTTCAATACGGGCACACATAATGTGTCTTAGTCGTTTGTGTTTCTCCCCTTGTGATGGGACTTTGTAGGATGAACGTTGAGATTTATAAAGGAACGGGGTGACCAATAAGGTCTGAATTGGTCTGTAATAAGATAGACATAAGGGGTTGGCAGGTATGTAGTGATGAGTGTAGTGGCGAGTGTACTAGTGGTGATTGTCTATTTGTTTGTGTTTCTCCCTTGTGATTCGACTTTATTGGATGATGGTTGAGATTTATAGGGGCACGGGGTGACCAATGAGGTTTGAATTTCTCTGTAATAAATTGGGCACTGATAAGGAGTTGACGGCTATAAAGAGGGTTGGGGGCGGGGAGTCGCCTGGGCATCGTTCTGGACATCTGTTGAAGAAGAGCTATGCAGCGCTTCAACAGATGTCCAGTACGTACCTGCTGCCTGTCCTGCATGGGTTTTCAGTGGGTCACCTCTTTCCTCCCATAGCTAGACAAAGATCCCCCGTGTAGCCTGAACAGACTGTTGGGGCACGTGTTGTTAGCGAGCACTCATGAAGGCCGGAACGGTACATAGGGGGCGGGGTGTGTGGCTAGCACCACGCCCGGCCGTCTTTGTCTCCCCAGTGGCGATGTTTACTACACACCACACTAGGTACTCATATTGAGGCTGAGTCGACCTAGGGGAGGCCCAGGATAGATTTAAATAATCGTGACTGGTCGTGAGCGTAATCGAACTTGGGTCGCCAGGTTCATAGTGCAGCGTGCTAACCACTACACTACCACTCCCCGTAGCTACATACACACGCACACGCAAAATAACACCCAATCATAAAAGACATCCCAATTCTGAATAATTAACCTACAAATTTACCCCATTGGAGTTTGCGTCTCTCTCTCCCCCATGGTCGCGTTGATATTTTTTTTTCTCCGGGTCATCCGGTTTTTCCCTCTGCATTTAGAAACATGCATTGATATTATTTAGGTTATTTCTGCTTCTATAGAATTTCACGTGATAAGCCAGTTTGTTGAGATGTCATTTGTGGCCAGATCTTTTTTGAGAAATAAGTTAATTCCTCGGTGGGCTTTACCTGGTAAGATTAAACTAGTTTAGTTTAATTTGTATATTTTTAAGTGATTTCTTTTGCTTTTCAATACTTTGCACGGCTATTGTGTTTTTTGTATTTGTTGTTGTAACATTCTTACCCCGTGCCCCTATTTGACGTCTGTGAATAAGAGCTCTATAGCTCATCGGATTCCTCCAGTCTAAATAAACATTCTGATTGTGAACGTCACCCCCGACTGCAAGAACTTGGGCAGGGGACCCTCCTGATAAAGAATCCTGAGAATCGGTGAGGTTTTCTGAAGTAGCAGTGATAACAATAAGTAACAATGGGTGAGATGCCTAGGCATTTTAAGGGGAATGTTTTTGTTCTTTAATGAGAAATTCCCTCCTCTCTGCAGCTGGACTGCCTCTCCACGCTTGTGCAGGCCGGCGCCAGCGTCACGACGGTGACCTCGCGCTACGCTCAGACGCCGGCGCACATCGCGGCCTTTGGAGGCCACCAGCACTGTCTGCTGTGGCTGCTGAGGGTCGGGGCCAACGTCAACCAGCAGGTGCCGGGTGGTGGTGGTGACAATGAATGGGGAAGCTGGTGGTGGTGGTGATAGACAAGGCGTGGTGGTGGTGATGATGATGGCGGCGGTGGTCATGAACGTGGTGGTGACGATGAATCGGCGTGCTCGTGGTGTGGTGGTGGTTGTGACAACAAATGGGGATGCTGGTAGTTACGGTGGTGATAGATAAGTTGTGTACTCTTTGGTTCTTTCGGTAAAACCACAGCAAGAATTTTTTTTGCTGAAGCGGGAGAGAGTTGCCGTGGTAAGAGGTTATACAAGTAGGAATGGGGGGGGGAGAGGGAGGGGGTGGGGGTGTCGTGATTTTATTCATTTTATACCTACGTGACTTTACCGAAAGAACCAACGAGTGGATCCCTGCAGTCACGAAAACTTCAAATCTAGATAGATAGGTTGTGGCGATGATGGGGGTGGTGGTGTTGATGAATACAGGTGGCAGGGGAGAGAGAGATTGCTCATGTTAGTTCTTACAGTGATTGTGATGATGATGAAGCTGCTGCTGTTGAAGCTGACAAAGATGATAAAACTCCTTTGGTGCTCCCCCCAATGACAGTGATGATGATGATAATGACAATCATGTTGCCGTCAGTGACGACGATGCTTCTGCTGCCAATGACAATCGTGATGATGATGACGAGGATGTTGCTGCTGCCGCCAATGACATTGACGTCTCCGATGATGACGACAATGATGTCGACGTTCATGATGACGATGTTGGCGGGCGGCTCAACAGGACTACCTGGGCGAGACTCCTCTGCACAAGGCCGCTCGCTCCGGGAGTGAGGAGTGCGTCCATTTGCTGGTGGCGTGCGGAGCGCAAGTCGAGTGAGTGTCTTCTCCACCACCACCCCCGCCTCCTCTCTCTCTGTGTGAGGGGGACATCACCACACAGACAAAGATCCCCTCCCCCATCTAGTCTTATATTTTTTTCTAATCGTTTTTTAAATAAACTAAACTAAAGCATTTTTATTTTACCAGGTAAGGGCCCCAACTGTATACTGATTTTTGGCTGATGATGAGAGTGACGCCCAGACCCAGTGCTTGAACTTAGGGGCATTGACCGTTTCCGACACAGGCATTATGAACCACCTTCAGTGACAGAGACACGGATAAGGACACCACGATGTCTCTCTATATTACATGCACGTTTCCCAAACATTTTTTATATTTTTTTTACCAGGTAAGGCCCCACTGAGATGTACAGCTCTTTTTCGGAAGCGACCTGGCCACAAATAATAAGCTCAACGAAGCGGCTTATCACGTGGAAATTTATCGCAGCAGCCAAATACTCTTCAACGCGTGACGTTCATTCTAAATGTGGAGGGGAAAAACCGGAGGACCCGGAGAAAAATCCACGCGACTACGGGGCGAGAGACACCGCAAACTCCAAATATACAGCAGGCGTCAGGGTCGGGACTAAACCCACGACCTCCCTGCGTACCAGGCGAAGTAGTTAACATCTCGCCACCATGGTGCCGACAAGCCCGAGGCCACGTGCCCTCAGGGCAGCGGAAAGGGTTCCCCATATAGCCGAAACAGACTGTTGGGGCAAGTGCGGTTAGCGAGCACCTATGAAGGCCGGCATGGCACACGAGGGTTGTGAGTGGCCAGCACCACGCCTGGCCGCCTTTGTATCCCTCGTGGCGATGTTTACACATCAATGCTGGTTACACGCCGCACCAGGCACTCGTATGAGGCCGAGTCGACCTAGGGGAGGCCCAGGACAGGTTCAGATATTTGCCACCATGAGAGGGAATCGAACGGTGGGTCGCCGGTTTTCTCCGATCAGCGAGCTAACCGCTGCACCACCTTTCTCCCCACGTCGCCACACACGGACACGCGCTCGGATACACCGACAACAGCCGCCGTTGGCTACCAAGTTGCGGTGCCAGGCTAGGTGTACTTCGAGTCCATCGAGCGAGGTGCGAAAGGCTCGCCCGGGCAGGAGGTGAACAGCTTTAAAATTGACCGCCCCTCGGGTTTCCCCTCCCCCCCCGCGGCCCCGATCTCCCCCCAGAGTGCCCAACCACAGCGGCATCACCCCGCTGGAGTTGGCCATCTCTCAGGGCTTCTCGCGCCCTGCCGCCTTCCTCGCCAACGAGCTCGCTCGTCGCCGTGGCGACGCCGGAGGAGGAGGAGGTGGGGGAGGAGCGGCGGCGGCTGCGGCGGCGGCTGCGGCGGCTGCTGCGGCGGCGGCGTCGTCGGTCTCCAACGGTGACGGAGGAGGGCGCGGCCGCAAGCGTTCCCACGGCGACGCCAACGCCAACGGCGACGAGAAGAAAGCGCGTTGCCAAGGTACGGCTGGAGCGCGGCGCCAGCGTCGGTTGCCGAGCGATGGTTGCGAGTGATGGTTGCAAGGGTTGGCGCCAGAGACCCGGTTCGGTTGCTTTGCTGTGCGTGTGTGTGTGCACTCTGTGGCGTGGCGGTTAGCGCGCTGCGCTACGAACCCGGCGACCCGAGTTCGATTCCCACTCGTGGTCAACACCGGTGTGACGGTTATCTGAACCGGTCCTGGGCCTCCCCTCGGTCAACTCAGTCTGAAATGAGCGCCCGGTGCGGTGCGTAGGCAACGCCACTGGGGATACAAAGGCGGCCGGGCTTGGTGCTGGCCACCCACACCCCCTCGTGTGCGGTGCCGGCCTTCATAGATGCTGCTCGCTAACAGCACTTTCCCCAAAAGTCCGTTCAGGCTATACGGGGGATCTTTGCCCTACGGCCCAAGGAGGGCGTGGGCGGTGTTGCGTTCACCGCTTGTTGCCACAGAGGCTCGCGGTTCGAACTCGTCGGGCCGCCCTGGTTACTACTACTGCGGTGTGCTCATTAACCGTAAACACATTACAAGCCCCTCCGCTTCCCCGGTGGACGTGAAAGATCCCGTGACGTCATTTTGAATAAAGAGAGCAGGCCACTGTGTTGTGTGTTGCCGCCGGGCGTCACGGTTTGAAGTCGCCTCGTTTGAAAGTGACTCTGCAAGCGATCGAATTTAGATTTCACACGCACGTAGAGCAACATTGCCCGCTCCAGGCTGTTGCCGAGTCTTTCCTTTTGCCCTGTGCGGGGGCAGTTGCAACTGGCTGCTCTCTTGGAATGTTTGTGGGCGCGCCACGGTGGCCAGGAGATGTGAACTACCTCGCCTGGTGTGCAGGAGATCGTGGGTTCGGTCCCGACCCTGACGCCTCCTGTATATTTAGAGTTTGCGTGTTCTCTCTCTCTCTCCGTGGTGAGATGTTAACATGCTCGCCTGGTATGCAGGAGGTCGTGGGTTCGATCCCGACCCGGACGCCAGCGGTATACATTTGGAGTTTGCAAATATACGTTTTGTATATATATATCCTCTTGGCACGTGATAGTTTTTTTTTTCTCCAGGTCCTTTGGTTTTTTTTTTAATTCTCCCACACAACGGCCGAACGTCCCGATACGGCAGGGGGGACACCCTCCTCCTACTGCACCGCACAGCCCTCGGGAGAGACGCGTGACGTTGCTGTGATGCGCATGACGCGGCTCGCGAACTCTCGCGAGCTCTTGAGCAGGACTTTTGGGGCCCCCACCGGTTCGGTGCACGGACCGGGCGTTCGCCAAGGCGGGGTTGTTGTTAGGGTGGCGAATGCGTCTGGTGTCGCCTGCCCGCAATGGGGGAGACCTTCGGTTTTGTTCTCAACTGTTTTGACAGTCCGGGTGCTGTTGGGTTTAAGTGAGACACCTGGGGTTGTCTGTTATGGCTTGTTGTTGTTGAAGGGGTGCCGCGGGTGGCTAGGAGATGTTAACTTCCTCGCCTGGTATGCAGGAGGTCGTGGGTTCGATCCCAACCCTTGCGCCTGCTGTACATTTGGAGTCTGCGTGTCTCTCTCCCCGTTGTTGCGTGGATTTTCCCGTGGGTCCCCATGTTTTTCCCCTCCACATTTTTTTAGAATCAACGTCACGCGTTTTAGAGTTATTGGCTGCCATAAATGTCCACGTGATGATGATGATGATAAGCCACTTGGTCGGGGGGGGGGGCCCTTACCTGGTTAAATAAAAAAGTGTTTAGTTTCTAGTCGTTAGTTGATGCCAGGTGTATTGAGTTCAGCTCCACAGATTGGGGCTGGGAGCCTCCGAGAATGCGTCTGAGCTAGCTGGCAACCGCCAAGATCCTGCGTTTCCAGTCCGCGATGATGGCCAGGGTTGTCAACGTCGTTCCTTTTTTGTTGACGCACCTCCGGTTAGCACGCGTTGGCTAGGTGCGATGCGAAAGAAAGTTCCAGCGTTGCTGTGCGTAACCGACCGTACACGTGAAAAAAATTCCAAACGGCAAAAAGATAAATGGATGACCGATCTCTCTGGAAACCCACAAATAGGCAGCTCTGGTGAAGTAGGGTGGAATATGCCCCATGACCGATATGACGTGGTGAGGCACTCATCCAGTAGCGGTGTGTGACGTGGCGCTCTGAGTTTGGTTTTTTCATGCACGGTATATTATATTTTGCTGCTTGTCGCGTGACCAAATCGCACTGGGACGCGCCGTGCGGTCCGAACGGTCGCTCTTTGCTCGCAGTCGGATTTGGTAATCGAATCGACGATTTCGCGAGCGGGTGATCGAGCATCCCCAATAAATTGACGACGACGTGTTTGGTCGGCCGAGTCGTTGAACGGGATTCGAACCCGTGCGTCCCTCTTTGACTTTTGAGTCGATCTGTCTGGCTGCCGATAACGCCCCCCCCCCCCCCCGTGGCTGTTAGCGCTTGATCGGTGTGGCGTTAACGATATCGACCGTTCTGTGTGTTTTTGCACATAGCCTGGCACAAGTGCCGTGGTGACGTCAGCGCCACTTAGTGGCGGAGGGCGGTTGTTGTTGTGTTTGCGCGACCTCAAGTATCACTTGACATTTCAGAGAGCGCTTTGTCCCAACGCGGTAAAAGTGTAAAAAAAAAAGATTTGGCAACATGCCCGCATTGTGACGGACGAAAGACACCTGCGTGCATTTCGATGTACGTGTTTAAATGCGGGCGTTTGTGTCCGTGCGTGTGTACGCGAGGGTGTTCTGTGTGTGAATGCGTGTCTGCGTGGGTACACGTCTGGGCGTATGCGAGCGTGTATGTGTGCGAGGGTGTCATGTGTTGCCAATATGCGCGTGTGTTTCTATGTGTGTGTGTACGATCGTGCGTGTGCACATCTGTTGTGAGGCGCGTGTGTGTGTGTGCGCGCGCGTGCATGTGCAAACGTGTTGGGTGTCTGTGTGGTTGTCGTTAGTCCACTTTATGCGGTTTGTGAAGATCACGCGGCGCATTCATTGACCGCACCTAGGGTCGGTAACTTCCAAAACCTGGCGCGGCTTCCGGGACTGGGTGGTAATTCCGACCAGCCTGGGTTGACCGTAACAGTGCGGAACGGGCGTTGTGTAAAACGTGCGGTGGATTTCCGCGTTGAATCTCGGTGAATCTCTCGCGCGGGCCAGCGGTGGGTGCTTTCGCCGCTTGCCCTGGAGGTTTTCGGGGTTCGAATCATGCAGGGGCCACCCTGGTTAATGCTGCCGGCGGTGTGCCTATTAAACTGGAATGAAAACAAAATACATATACTACACGCCGTCCACTTGAATCGACGGTGGACGTTAAATATCCCTGTGACATAATTTCGCAACGGGTGTTGCCGGCGTCGCGGTGACGAGTTTTTTCCGAAAGTGATAAAAAATAAAAGTGAAACCTACGTACCTGTCAACCCCTTATCAGTGCCCTACCTTATTACAGACAAATTCAGACCTTATGGGTCACCCCGTGCCCCTTATAAAGCTCAACGTTCATCCTTCAAAGTTCCATCACAAGAGGATAAACAAACAAATAGACAAAATAATATTTTTTTTGCCCATATAGGAACGGCTGTACACCATATGGACCTGAGAACTCAATTTCCCTGTACAAGAATACAGGGTAAACCGTATGGTTTGACACGCTATGAAGTTAAAACGGCGCCTTCGTGATAGCCATGCGTTTAAACAAGGATGGCGGGAACACCAAATGCACTCATAACTATTGTTGTTAAGTGTCGTGTGTTGTTTGTAAGTTCAATGACGGTGATGTTATGCGTGCGTTTTAATCTCAATGCTCTCCCTGTTGATCCTTCACTTTTCACCTGACTCTTCCTTTGTGTGCGTGTTGTGTGGTGTGTCCATGTGGCCTGCACGTGTGTCTGTGTGTTGTTTGTGTGTGCTGCATCTGTGTTGTTTGCTGCGTCTGTGGTGTGTGCGTGATGTCCTGTGTGTTTTTGTCTTTTGTGCGTGTGCGTGTACATGGTATATGTTTGAACGTGTGCGTGGCGTGTGTGTTGTGGCATGTCATGTGTGTGTGGCGTACATGTGTGTGTGTGTGTTTGCGCGTATGTGGTGCTGTATGTTGCCTGTGTGTATTCGCTCTGTGTGTGTTGTGTTGTCCGGCGTGGTGTGCATGTGTGACTCGTGTGTAAATGGTACGTGGGTGTGTTGTCTGCTGTGTGTGCGTGTTTTTACATGGTGCGCGCGTTATACGTACTGTGTGGTACGTGTGTCTGTGTTGTGCGCACGTTTCGCTTGGTGTGTGTGTTTGCGATGTGTCCGTCGTGTGGCGGATTGCTTGTGTTGTGCTCCTGCTAAATTCCGTTCGACCGCCTTCCCAACTCCTCCTGCATCCTCCTCCACTTCTCTCTCAGCTCTCGTTAAAATGTGATTTTTGTCGGCCGTTACGCAGCACTAGCGCCCACCCCCCGGGGTTAATCCGCCCGCTGCGGTTTAAAAAAAAATCGCTCGGGGACCACGCTCGTCAATTGAGGAGGGTCTCTGCGTAACAGGCGGTGTGCAGCGTGTGTGGTTCTCGCAGCGAGCGTGAGTCGGCGAACGAGTGTTGCTTGGCGTAGTTCGTAGACGTAAAGTTTTTAGACTTTTGGCTAAAGGGGCAATTTGAACCGTCAACCGGGAATACCGAAGCCGTCAGGGGCCCACCAAGGAATGTCGTACAAGTCAGGGGCCGCGGGTCCCGAACATTTTTTGTTGTTGCCGACGTGAGACGCTCACGGGTATGGGGCTGACGGCGCCACCGCCGCCGCCTCCTCCTCCTCCGATCCCCCACGGCTCCTTTTGTACCAGGCTCGGTACTCTTTTTTTTCTTTTCTAAGAGGGGCCCCCCCCCCCGCCCGCCCCGCACACAACCGCTCACCACCTACCTCCCCACCACTCTACGCGCAGACTTCCTGCCTCAGCCTACGCCGACCCCTGCCACCGTCGGCGTCGGCAGGGAGTGCCTGTGGCAGGAAGATACTTTCTTCCACCACCACCACCAGCAGCAGCAGCAGCAGCTCAACCACAACGGCGGCAACGGCAACAACAACAACAACGGCGGCGGCGGCGGCGGCGGCAATCATCGTAACGGCGATGATTGCGGCGACGAGGCCATGGCCGTGTCGGATGGTTGCGGCGGGCAGCACGCGGTGGCGGTGGCCGCCGGCGCTCACCACGCGGAGGCCGCCGCCGTGGCTCCCAGCGCCACGTTGCAGGCATCGTACCGCTGCGTGGGTGGCTACGCGTATGACTTCTGATCGCCGAGTCGTTTGCCCACCCCGCTTGCCCCCCCGTGCTGTGGGCGGTGGTGGTTTTGGTGGTGGTTTTGGTGGTGGTTGCTGGTTCCTCTGGCACGCTATCCACTGGTGCACTACTGGGGGGATGTGCTCCCGATTTTCGGGTTAATCCAAAAAAAATAATCCGAAAATCTCGCCTTGATACGTAATTTTCAGACGTATCCGGAACACACGTTTTTTTTGGATCATAGTATCGTCTGTGGGTCTCTGTACGTCTGCGGGTCTCTGTATGTCTGCGGATCTCTGTACGTCTGCGGGTCTCTGCAAGTTTGTGGGTCGATGTAAGTCTATGGGTCTCTATGCCTATCGGTTTCTAAGTATATGGGTCAATGTAAGTCTGTGGGTCTCCGCAAGTCTCTAAGTATGTGGGTCTCTGTACCTCTGTATGTATCTTTGTTCGAACTTCTTTCACACCGTACGTAGCCAACCGTGCTAATCAGAGTTGCGGGGCAAGGACAACAATCTAAACACAGGAAAGCAGTATGCATGTCTGGGTCTATGTAAGTCCGTGTAAGTCTATGGGTCTACGTAAGTCTGGGTCTCTATGCAAGTCTATGAGTTGCCATGTAAGTCTGTAGCGTTTACCTTTATCTGTTACATGTAATAAATATTATCCCAAGCGATCGTAACGGTGGTAGGAAAAATTGTTCCATGTTCATGGAGCAGCTTGAAATTCGGCGAGAAAAATCACTTCAAGGCGACTTTTCCACCCGCTGCTTTGCCGAGGTAGATGCGCATCATTTGACCCCCCACCCGCTCTCGGCAATTCGACGGACAGACCCTCGCGATTCGGAGTCACGGTTCGACTCTGAGAACGGCACCGCATTTTGAAGTGTTGGTGGCCGTCGGCTGGCTCACGAGGTCAAAGGGCGCCGAATCGGCGACACCCGCCGAGGTTTGCGGCTTTCAAAAACGGGTTTCAGCCACCCGGCCCCCCAACCACAGCGATTGCACATCGGGGAGTTTCTCCTGTGCAGTGAGGTGATGGTCTCAGCCTGATCACCCCAAAGACTTCACACATACATACACACACGCACACACACAAGAAAAACCCCATGGCATTAATCGTTGTTCCCCCACTTTCTGAATAAATAAATAAATCTACATCTCAATCAGAATGACTTACTTATAGTGGATGAATCCGATGAGCTGTAAAGCTCTTTTTTCACTAATGTCCAGTAGGGGCACGGGGTAGGAACGTTAAAAACAACAGACAGAGCAAAATCACGATAGGTTCCAGCTATCATTTGTGATGGGCCCAGATCGCTTCTGACAAAAGAGCTATAGGGTCGCTCAGTGGGGCCTTAACAAGTAAAAAAAGTAATCGCCGTCGGTCTTCCCGGCTCCCGTCATCTTGTAAGTTCAGCGTCCGACGGTGGCAGACCCTAACCGCCTGGGCGAATTAACATTTTTTTTTAATCTTTTGTGAGGAGCGTTATTTTGGGCTGCGTTTTTTTTTTGTCGTGGTCTGGTCGACGACAAGCTGCGGGAGTTTCTTTCGTCCGAGTCTTTGGATGTCATTTAGTTGTTCCGCCTGTGTCTGGTCAGCTGGGCTAAGTATGATGCCAGCCAATCTTTACTGCCGGCACGTATTGGGCCAACGACCGTGCGTGCTCGATCTTCATCAGCTCGCACTGCAGCCTCTAATGTCGCTGGGTGATGCGAGTTCTGCGTCTTTTATTTGTCAGTGGCGCTGATGGTGACAGGTGGTGGTGATGACGGTGGTGGTCGTGGTGATGATTTCTCTGCGTCCGTGCCACCGTCAACTGATTGACTTGGTTCAAAGTAAATATCTATAGATATAAAAACACACACAGTTGAAAAACGATGACTGTGCGATTTCGGTCGGCGATAAATGAAATCCAGCAGAGACTCGCAGTTCCACAGGGTTTGTCGTTGACTGGATATGACGGACACGCTGAAATAAGTTCTTGGTAAGCAAAGCGGTGCAGTGGTCATGCTCGCGCCTCGCAGCCACGAGGGCCTGGGTTCGATTCTCGACTAAAACATTTCCGTGTGTGGAGTTTGTTATCTCCCCCCCCCCCACCTCCCCATCGTTCTGCATGGGTTTTCTCCGGGTTCTCCAGTTACCTTCCCATAGCTAAACCACCACCACCGCCACACACACACTACACCCAGTGGAACTGGTATTGTGCCAAAACCAGGTCCCAACGCTGAAACATTACACTGCAAATCACTTTCAATTGGGATCTCGCGCGCACACACAGAGGAGCAATATTTCTCCTCCTGCACCCGCTATTTTGAAAATTTGGCAGGACCCTCCTGAACAACAGACTTGAGACTCGGTGAGACAAAGTTTAATAATAATGTTATTAACACTGTTGGGGGCATAACCTCTCACCTGGACAGAATGTTAAAAGTGAAACCTACACACGGTTGAATTCAAACTTGGCTTCTTCTTTCTCCACACCCGTGTATATTCATCCCGTTGGTCATCGTGGTAGTAGAAGTAGTCAAAGCAAGGATTCAAAATAAATTAGTGATATTCTTCTGGCCGTGGTGCCCAAGCACAAGAATAAACGGTGCTTGCCGGCATGTTGTTTTGACACGCAGCAGTTGGGCTTTCACGAGCAATGTTATCCGCAATCGAGGGTTTTTTTTGCGTTAGATCGTGTGACTATAAATGTAATTGTGGTAAGTTTAACGTCACGTTTATATTCATGCAATGTAACCCTTCCCGCCCACCCAAAAAAAGGCTCGATTATCGGGTTATTAATGTTTATTTTTTTTTCGTTATAGGGAGGGAGAGGGGTGCGTTGGGGGGGGGGGGGGGCGGTGGAGTCGTTGGGAAAAGCACAGACTTGAGAATTTAAAAAAATATTGTTGCAGCAGGAAAAAAAAATATTCCGTCATTTTAAAAACGCAACCTAGTGGTTGCTGCTGATGCGGTGTTTCTCATGGTCAGCCTAGGGTCGGGGGTCGGCGTCGCAGTGGCGATGTGTTAATTACCTCGCCTGGTATACAGGAGTTCGTGGGTTCGATCCCGACCCTGGCACCTGCTGTACATCTGGAGTTTGCGTGTCTCTCTCCCCGTGGTCGCGTGGATTTTTTTCACGGGTTCTCCGGTTTTTCCCCTCCACATTTTAGAATGAACATCACGTGTTTAATAGTATTTGGCTGCTCATATAAATTTCCACACGATGATGATGATAAGTCACTTCGTGCAGCTGCTATCATTCGTGATGGCCAGGTTGCTTCTGTCAAAAGAGCTGTAGAGGGATTCCTCTACTTACGAACGAGTTAGGTTGCAGAGGTACTGTTCGTAAGTCAATTTGTTCGCGAGTCCAACTTTACTCCTGTCGATTCCAAACATGTTGTACGGCGTGTGCACTAAACACGGGGAATGGCTTTGAAAGTTGTATAATCTCCTGTAGATGTCACTGGTTCTTCACGTTCTAAATATGTGTGTCGGTAAACCCGCCACCACCCGACACAGCCAATTAGTGAGGCTTGTTCTCACGTAAACAGAACGTGTCAATTCGTTACAAGTACAGCACTAACCGGTGTGTTGGAGAGCAAAGCTTGGCTCTGATTGTAAATGTTGTGGCTTGGCTCTCCAACACACCGACGTGCTTGGTTTTGCCCCCTATCGTATCGCGCAATAATTCCACACTTGCACACCTCGGAGGTCGGGTGTCAGTCAAAAGCAGCTGTAGATGCAGAGGGGAAGGAAGCGATGGCTTGGATGGATTAACGAAAAAAAATAATTCTTAAGTCGTCTGCACAGGTGCGTAATTTTTGGTAACCAATCTTGATTTGAAGCTTTCGTGACTGCAGCAATCCATGCCCTTTGGTTCTTTCGGTAAAGTCACGTGGTAGGTATAAAATATTTTTTATTTCTAATCCGGAGGATGCTGGTTATAGCCAATCTATACCTGTCAACCCCTTATCAGTGCCCTACCTTATTACAGACCAACTCAGACCTTATGGGTCACCCCGTGCCCCTTATAAATCTCACCGTTCATCTTACAAAGTTCTGTCGCATGGGAGAAACACAAAAAATAGACTAGTTTTTTTTGCCCGTTTTGAGAAACGGCTGTACGCCGTATGAACCTGAACTCAATTGCCCATGTACAGGAATATGGGTAAACTGTTATGGATTTACAGCTATGCCAATCTCCCGGTGCGGCAGTCAAAACGACGGCGCAAATTCTTGAATTACCCCCCCACCGCCACCACCACCACCACCAACCAAGCCCAACCAAAAGGGGAATCGCCTCCGCCCAGCGGTGTAAAAACCGGAGGCGGTTCGCCGCAGTCGAGTCGATCATTCTCGTGGCGATGGTGGAGTCAAGAGTGGCTACTCTCTCCGCTTCTTCGAAGACGTCTGGCCGGCGTTGGACGAGTTAGGCCGCTGTGTGTACCCTAGCCCAGAGGTGGTTGGGCGAAGCCCCCCTTCCGCCAGCAGCAGAACTTGCAGGGGCTGCGCCTCTTAAAGCGTCTACAAATGAGATAAAAAAGCGGCGCGCTCATCTCTATTGGCCCTGCCCTGTGCTGGTGATGGAATTCCACGTTCCCATGGCCAGTGGGGGGGGGGGGGGGCGGGCAAGTACATCCAGCCACTGGGAAGGCTCGCTCACAAACGCCGGGGCTGTTTCGTTTTAACCCAATCACTGGCCGGGGTTCCTGGTCACATGGGGAGCGGGGGGGGGGGCGCTGTCTGGTCCGCTCAAATGGAGCCGCGTAAGGAGCGACCCCATTTTACTTGAAAGTGTAACGATCAGGAGTTGGATCGTTTTTCTCCAAAAAAATCACAAGAGTTGATGCCGATGATGAGCAAGCCGCTGATTCTGATGATGTGGATGAGCAGCATGGTGATGACTGATTATGACGATGACAGCGATTCTAACGTTGGTGGCGATGATGATGACAATCGTGGCGTTTAGTGATTTTCGATATCGTGGCTGAGAGTGATTGTGACGGCGGTGATGATGCTGATTATGACGATAGCGATACGATTAATAATAATTATGATAATGATGATGCGAATGGTGATTGCAATCATGACGACGACAATGATGATGATTGTGGGTTGACGTGTGATTCTCTTGCACGGATATAAAATTCACAGGCGCCAATCAACTTAACCGAACGTTATATTACACCCACGATAATCTCTTAAGCAGCCCATTTATATTTCTCTTCATAATCCAGATTTTTTACACACAACAAGACAAAGGTCCCCCGTATAGCCTTAACAGACTGGGGTGAGTTCTGTTAGCGAGCACCTATGAAGGAAGGCCGGCACAGCACACAAGGAGGTTGGTGGCAAGCGCCACGCCCGACCGCCTTTGTCTCTCCAGTGGCGATGTTTACACACCACACCAGGTTTCTCATTTGAGGCTGAGTCGACTTAGGGGAGGCCCGGGACCGGTTTAGATAATCGTCACCGGTGTTGGCCATGAGCGGGAATCGAACCCGGATCGCCGGGTTCGTAGCGCAGCGTAGCGCTAACCGCCACACTACCGCACACCACACGCACACCACACGCACACCACACGCATGTGAAACGGCAACGCTTGCTTTTGTCGTAAACCCATTGCTTCAACATACCAAAGTCAACGTTGTGTTCGC